GATGTTCTGCATGCACTCCTCGTTAACATAAATGATAAACATCGCGTTTTTATAAATGTAAGACACTATTTAATTTAGTAACTGAAGTATAATGAAAATTATACAGTAGAAAAAAAATATTATAGTTTCCTTTCATTAGCCCAGTGACGCTACAAAACAAGGAAGAGGGTCACTGCATCCCCACGCTAAAGATGAAAAAATCTCTAAAGCTTCTTTTATATATTTATAAAGTTGCCGTACTACGATCAGCCAAAATCAGAAGAGGGTCTAAAATACTCTTACGCTGGTTTATAAACTAGAAAATAAGTACTTTACCTCCAGAGGGACGTTAGAAATGTGAGAAGGTGGCATGGTCTCCTATAACGAGGTAAGCACCTGCGTCATAGGTTGTCTTGAGCAAGTAAATGGTTGGGATAAGCAACGAAAATATTTAGGGAGTATTTCCAACTTAAGATCACGATACGAGTATGGGGAACCTGTAATTATTCGGAACAGGTGCTTATAAATTAATTGAAGTCGCTTTAAATTTAGTTGGCTACTATATGGCCACGCCACAGCTGCATAAGTTGGTCAAATAATATACAAAAAAAAAAGATTAAGTTAATTGCTCATTGAGGAAGAAAAATATACACAAGTAGGGATAAAAATTTTTGAACTGCTAACTTCGTTTATCCATGAGATAATGTGATAGCGCCACAAAAACTGTTTGTCGGTTACCCATAATTTACTTCCGTATACCGGTGGACTACTTGGCCACGAAGCGTTATAATGGATGCTTTCGTTTTTTGCCTCCTTTTCGATATAGGTTTACTCTTAAGTTGGTTAACTGTAATTCGCCACTGCTCAAAACCATACCTCAAGTGCTGTACCATACGTTGTAGGTGTTGTTAAGGTAGAGAAGGAGTTGGAGCAAGCGTCGATAGAGGTATCTTACGGAAAATGTGAGAAAAGTGGAGGTATTCTCAGGCCCCGTTATGACCTAGAAGTATTAAGCAAATATGATGGAATATAAAGCCAGAAGTTCTATTAAAATGAGCTAGCTTTTCCCATACTGACGTCTGAAATAACTCGCGAAGAGAAGAAAGTATATTTGACCCCAAGTACATTACTCGGTTCGAAACGGTAGCCCCCAGTTTATAAAAATTACTCAATCATGAAAAACCCCCTTTTCAAATGAAACAACGTAGTGAGGTAAAGAGAGATAATTAGCTTAACCGATGCCATTCTTTTAAGTTTAATATATATTATTAAATAATCTAAACTATTTAAACTATTTAGATTAGTTGATAAATCATTGTTAATTGGATAGTTCTCTTAATAAAATACTTTAAATTTCCATTAATTTAAAATCTTTTTATAACCTCGTACTACCCTAATTAAGTTTAAATATTTGTTTGAAAGAAGTATCCTGCCTTTGGAAGGAGAGAGGTTTGGTGAAAATATCAGCTATTTTTGTTCCAGACTTTCTATGCCTTACATAATAGTTTCCTCGTCCTACACACTGTCTAACTTAATGGTATGCAATAACACTATGACGTAATCTTTTTGCTCTTCTACCAAATACATTTTACCACGGCCTCTTTATCTGTATTAATTTGTACTGTAAGGGGTGCATCCTGGAGAAGTTCTATTAAAATATATTCTATGGCTATAGTATTGGTTATAGCGTTACTAAGAGCTATATCCTCAGCTTCACAGGAAGACTTATTTATAGAGCTTCTATCAAATTTAGTTTTCCATTGTATTGGACTACCGTTTAGAAAAATTATATATGTTGTAGTACGATAGTCATAAGTTTCGCCCAAGAACAGTCCAAGTAACATTTTAGAATAATATTGTATTAGTTAAAAAATTATTGTTTATAAGTTTTATGCCCCCTGTTTGGTAGAGACAAGTTATTAATGGTATGATCCACGTACAGTGTGCAGTTAGATAAGTAAATTTCACGAAACTATGGGTGTGTTTTAATTAATTCTAACTGGTAGGTTTAATTTGTCAAGATAATTTGTAAATTTGCGGTATATATTTATTTTAACCTCAACAAACAACGAGATTATTGTTCTTTGTTTGTAACAACTTTTCAGACTATAAAGTTGCAGAGAAGTCTTAGCCCTATTGTCTAGAGGAAAAGTTTTACATATTGTTTTGGTCTATAAGGTTGAACAGAGCTTTATCGGTAACTGGCTATAGGATAGTTTACTCACAGTTTAACTTCTAGAGGGCGTGTACATTAATAAAGAGCCTAAAAGCTCAAAAGGAAATTTTAAATATAGTTAAAGCTCTTTTAGCAGATTACATTAGTTCCTCATTACTGTTTTGTAAAACCCTTTCTAAAATGATAGTTACATATGTTATATCCGGCCTTGCGCTGTCATATATGTTTTATAGTGAACCAATGAGTCCCTTATATCCTTCATTGTGGTCATGTGTTGCTAAGAAGTTCAACTTTCGTATATTGGATATAGCAGTATAAATACTTGATTGTTGTGTTTATACCATATTTAACTGCACGTTGCTGAATTGTAGAATCTTGACTAAGCGAACTAAAATTTTTATTAACGTTAATTTCAACTTCAAAAATTTATCCAACTGAATTAAGTCCTTAATTTCGTATTTAATCTAACATGCGCCTATATCATCATTTTCATCATATTTTATATTAAATGCAACAAATGCATGATAATTATATGGTTTAAGTTTTTAGCGCTTAAGAGATATCTCAGGCTTCCAACCTTAGGGCAAGGGAGCTAATTCTGTTAACTTCTTGGTATAGAGCGCCTTTCTCATATCTTCTCTTTAAGTCACTTTTACTTCTACATCTCATTTCCAAGCTCTGATCTATTCTACGGCCTTTTCTTATGCCCTATTTTCGCCTGTGTACAGCTTTTCATTAGTTCCACCCTTGCTCTTGGATCTTAGCTCTGTTAACTACTTTTTCTCAAAGTTAATTAGTTTACTTTTTTTTTTTCTCTTTATTATTTATTTTAACTCTTTTAAGTTCACTTTTCGGCTCTTATTATCGTCAGATAACCTTGTGATCTCCAAAATCCTAACATCTACTGCATCCTTCTCCCCTCTCCATCCCCTAGTTTTTTATCTGTGTTATTTTAAAATACTCTCTTAAAAATTTTATTTTTAATAATAAAAAGTTATTAATGTGATTTTTAGAATCAACAATAGAATATTAGATTTTTATTATGAAGAGAAATTTCTCGCGAAAATTAATTAAAAAATATGCGTTTTTTAAAAAACTATTAACGTGATGGAATTTTTTCTATTTTACCTGTTTTAGTGAGTAAATATTTATAAAAAAATTCTAGGCCGTATTTAGTTGCAGATCGGTTAAGTAGACTAGCTAGCTAAGCATATTCGCGGATTATATAACTCCCTAGGTTACCTATTATGGATATAAAGAATTATTAACCTAATTTTAGGCAAAAAGAATTTTTACTGGAGCAGGAGGCTGTAGGTGAGGGACTGACTATAGTAGGAAAATGGTTTAGAATTAATTAATCTAGCGGCTCTAAAAACCTATTAAAATACAAAAAATGCTACAGGTCCGTGAGCAACTTTTCCTAAAAAATCGCTCACCCTCGCAGCCTATAACCTTTTAAAAATTTAGATTTTAGGTAGCGTTGGAAGAAAGACTTGGAGAGTGCTGTAATCAATTTACTATTGTGCAAATAGTTAATGAGGATGGGGTAGAAGATGTGGTTCGATATTGTCTCCAACGTAGTGAGGGCTAAATTATAAAATTCATGTATTACTAGTTTAAACCTCGCCTCGCATAGTTCTCATGATTTAATTATAGGGCCCATATTATAACATAAGGAGAAGAAGAACTACACCTCTTTTAGCTTTACTTCGTAGTACGCCCGACAGATCTTAATCTCTCAGCGACTAAGCTGTTTAAAGGTATTTATACGCTGCTGGCGCGCGCGCATATCATAACATGATAATTAAGTCTACTCGCTAGGTACACGCAATCTCGCATTGATTGGTAACTCGGCCTTAAAGCACATTTATTTGCAAATACACCAAAATAAAAATAATATAATATTGAATATCTGAATAATGTTTATTATACTTGAATTTTCAAAATTAATAGTGTCTTTGCACCAATTTAATTTTTATAAACGTCCACGAGTAATAGGTATTACATGAAACCTATTTGTTAAGGCAACGTTAATGTGTTATGTTTATAAAATTAACGTTGTCCTACTTGATTACCTCTCGTCTACAATTCCTAGTGGGAGTTGCAAAGTTTACATAGATGGTAACTCTTTGCTAATACTTACTACTATAGATGGAATAACTCTTGTGCTATGGTTAATAAAAACACTCATAAACATTTATTTAACTAGGGCTCTAATGTTTAAATTCTATTTAATTTTTTTAAATATTACTACATTTTTTTTGTTTAATGATTAGTTTAAGCTAAATTAAGAACGACAAGGTCACTTTGATACAGAAGTACTTTTAAAAAGCTACTAAATTCTATTAGAGGCTCCATAAATTTATTCAGCTAAAACTTGAAAAGTCGTAATGTTGATAAAAATTCGTGTAAAAAAGGATTGATATTTTCTCATTAAAGCAAAGGATTTATAAGCTTTATTATAGAAAGGGCTTAAAAAAGTGTTTCATGGCTTTCTTTAACGACTTAATTTAACTATGATATCTAGAGTAGTTGTAGGTATTTAACTTTCATTAACCTATAAAAACAAACTACATTTGATATTACTATTTCACTGCACTAAAAATTAGTTAATATAGAATCAAATCATTATTCCTTAAACTCTACCGTAAGCGGAAAGGAGAATATAGGCTAATCTAAAAGTAGAGGTAATACTTCCAAATTAAAGTTAAAAAAGGGTACAACTCTACTTTTAAGAATATGGTTGATTGGCTAGTAACCTAACTTTTATTGATTATTATCTACAACAACAAAAAAACAATCTGTAAGAATGTCCAAGGTATGTACAGTTCCGGGTTCTCTTGAATCGGCCAGCGAAGTTGTAGTGTTTTGTAAAGAGCTTAAGATACATTCCCAAAAGAGACTGGGCTACCTTGATAGAAAAACATTTTGTATATGTCTGGAGTCTTTGCAAGGACTTTCCCTCCTGCAAAGTAAGCTTGTAAGTAAACTTTAAAGATTTTCTGAACGTATTCCCTTTTAGTACATATGTTAGAAGTGGAGGAAGTTCAAGTAGACCATAACAAAAAAATATACAACTTAAGAGATTTCGCTGGTGACGAAATATTTAGTATCACTGTGATATTTGGAAAACGACTTGAATTGAAGGTAAATTCAAATAAACTTTGAGAAAGTTATTATTTTTAATAAATTTTAGTACTTAACCTTAGTCTTTGAAGATAAAGAGGTTTTTGAAAAGTGGTTGTTCATAGAGAAAATATTAAAATTCAAAGATGAGAGAAACTTGGGGCGTTTAGGGAACGTGCCGGACGAAGCTTTTTATTTTCATGATCCTTACGTTTTGAAACAGTATCTAACAAATTACATAGTTAAAAATATTAAATATTATTAATTTGTATATATAAAAAATAATATTATTTTATTAAATTGTTAAACTATAGGATATTATACCTACGTTTTACCCATATTGCGCAAGGAAGAAAAACTGTACACCTTGAAGACATTCGCCTTCTTTTACAAAGAGTAGGCTTTCCAACTTCGAGGTCGAATCTTTTAAAAATTTTTGAAGAGGTAACAGTTATCGATTAATATCTACATTGATTTATTTTTAAAAAACTATAGAAAAAGAAAGAAGAAACTGGGGGCATCACTTTTAAAACTTTTTTATTACTTTATCATGAATTGCTACAATCGGGAACTAAAGAAATTCTTACTTTATTCAACATATATAAAATTAAGAAGGGAGATAAACTTGTTATTTCTCGTGAACAATTCATAACGTTTCTAATCAGGGAGCAACAGGCACTTTTACTACATACAAAATAAGTTAGACCAATTTAATGAATACTATCTGTTCTTTTTCATAAAATTAATAGAAAACTTGCTCTTTATTTCCAGTTTAGTTAGTTAAACCAATTTTTTAAGGAAGTTGACTTGGTTAAGGACACTGACAGAATTTACTTCTTAATGTCGACATTTTCATCTATGAGGTGATTTTTCAAGACACTTATAGATTCATAAATAACGTTTATATATATATATATATATATCAAATATTGTACAACTGGCTTTTAGTATTTTAGAATCAATTATATCTTTTATTATAATAATATTTGGATAAACTACTTGCAGTTGGCAAAACGCCATAACTTCGACAAAACTTCATGTTTTTATAGCTAGCGTCTTATTCATTATTATTATAAGGAGATAAGGTTTTTTAAAATAAGAACTTTAATATTAATTTTACATTTTAAAAAAAAATAATAATTTAGGACAATACTTCCGAGTATTTTCGTAGTTGTCAACGCTGGTTTAAAACATTTTTCCTAATATTAAAACTAGCTTTTCTTCTTTACTAGTTTTGACTTTTTACTTTTATAATATTTCTCTCCTTAAACTGACACAAAAACAAGAAGGTTTAATTAATTATAAAAGTAATAAGTCAATCGTTGTCACAAACGGGGTAATATTTACCAATTTAATAAATTGTCTGTAAAGTTTAGCTTATTTATATTATAATAAAAGTGCTGTTCCTTAATATTATTATTAGTAGCTTCTGAATTTAAATATCAAAGTCAAGTTAACAAAAAAGTAAATGGTACGATTATGATAAAAAAGTGCTCTGTAAAGTTAGTAAACATTACTTATTTTAAATTATTTTAAACCATCTTGAAGTTATGTATATGATTAGTTACTGAGTTTGAATTTTTCAACGGCTGTGTTTATTCAAAGCTTGGTATATTCCATTTAACAAAACTCACTACGAATTTAAAAAACTGCACTTTATTAGATATTTATTATATAAATGAAAACAGTGAGTGGAGAAAAGCCATTACTGTAATTTTTATATAAAAAATCGGGTTAGCATATTACTAAAGAACTTCATAATTGTTTTACTATCTGTAAAAACGTTTTTTTTGTTAAAAAAGGTCTAAAATTAGTTTTAAAAATTATTTTTCAGTTAATGAATGTTACTATGAAAACTATGGTTATTTTCCTTCTACTAATTTTTCTGTTGATTTAACAGTTTTATCTTATAAATATCTAATAGTGAGAACTGCGACTGGAATCTCGACTCATTTACAAAATACTTATTGAGTTCGCAAAACGATTGGTTTCATTGGAGTGCTCTAGACGTGTATCAAAACATGACGCTGCCAATAACTGATTACTTCATATCTACTTCCTACAATACGTAGTAACCTAATATATTTTTCCCGTTTGCTACTCGTTGTTACTATATTTTATGGTTATATATTTACAATCATTTACTGTTATCTTTTAATAAAAACGCAGTAAGTCTAATTTGTTGCCGTCCTCTCATTTAGTTTTTTAAAGTTTCAAGTCTTTTTTCCACCTCCGAAAAATATGCACTTTTTTCAGTGGAATTTTTTTTTAATTGGAAGCTCGTATACCACTTTATTATTAACCTCTTCATACTTCACTTCGTATACTTCCATCAAAAACATTTATAAAAATATTAGGGAGCACAAAAATCTAATACGGCCAAAAAAATATATTTTCCTAATATGCGTTACCAGTGTAATATTATAACAAAAATCTTAGTATATATGACCAAGTCTTTTTATAGTATGAATAAGTTATTAACCTTTTGACTTGTGCCGTAATAACTTTTTTCTAGCGCTTAAAAAAATATTTGCCAGAAAATAGAATAATTTATTAGAATTTGTATCCAACTTTCATTTATAATAATATTTATGTTCTCAGGTCTAATGCGTTTAAAAATATACTTAAGAGTAAGAATATTAGACAAAGAAAAAAGTAATTGTATCTAAAAACGTCTTTCCCAGCATTACTATAAGGGACAACCTTGGAAATTAGCATAGCGCTAACAATATGAGCTGCATTTAAAATAAATTTAGAGCTTATCTTCTACTAGAAAAAATTTAACGATAATTTTGAAATGAACTCATATATATATTAATATATTACTACTTCATCGCATAGCTTTATATATAACATTAAAGTTGTTTAGATCGCTTTCGAAAGTGCATAACAAAATCTTTGCTATGACTTTCGCGTGCACTATTTTTATGCCAGTTAAAACTTCCTCTAACACCTTACTTGCATGTTTCTTTATGGTTTATAATTTAACTTTTAGAGTAAGTAGGGGCCTTATTTGTACCTTCAGTAATATAATTTTATGCATATTAAAATTTATTATAAGTTTTGATTGGGATTTAATGCGAACTAATTTAAACTACGTTAAGATATTTTCCGAGAATTCAAGGTTCCAAGGAAACTACTTTAGAAGGCATCATAAATGTGCTAAAAGATGGTTGTCGTTGCATCAAAAGTAATTATTTGCATATAAGAAGGTTTCTGTTAAAATTTTGGCCTCGGTTTCTGTACATATTGTGCGTTTTTATGAATCCAATAATATATTAAGGTCCTGGAGTGAAAAATTTGTTTATAACTTTTCTATACTCGCAGTTGAGTGCTGGGATGGCCACTCCTGCCCCATCGTTAGAACAAAACGGCATCCAGGTGCTTGGAGCACTTTTCGGGATGTTGTTTCCACCATTCAGCGTTATGCCTTCGCTGCCTCCGACTTTCCGCTGATCCTCTCCATCGAGAATCATTGTAGCGAACTCGAACAAAATTTAATGGCTCGAATTCTATTGGAATTTTTTGCCGATTCAATACATCTCGATGCTACCTTTTCGACTACGTGGACTTCATTGTCTCCATTAGATTTAAAGGGGAAAATAATCATAAAAGTTGTGTGACATTATACTTATATAATTTATGTGAACTAGCTAGGTTGAAGTAGTTTAAAAGGTGCTTTAGCTTTATATTTACATCTTATATTCTATCACAATACTACTAAGAGCCTAACGAGACTTACGATAACAATGATTTACTTTTAAAGAGTATTAATCTTAATGGTATCAATATAGTACTTTAATATATCCAGTTGTAATATAATTAGTGTTATAGGTTGGTTTCGACTTTCCCTGAACACTTATCCTATTTGATCTTTTAAAACGAAATCATTAAACTATAATTATTACTCAAGAACTTTAAAATAAATGATAATGAGCACTGGAAAGCTCCTACTTTAAACGATGTATTTGGACGTATTTATAAAGAAGGGGAACTTTCTCTCTTTGATGCAGCTACTGCAATGGTTTGTTTGAATTATTTATAATAGACTCACAATTTTTATGAAATACAAGTTAAATCAATATATTTAAATAGATTTCTATATTATTAACATTATTAAAGAAATTATAAAATATATAAAATGATATATATTTTTTATGTATAAAGGCACACTTGCATTATCAAACTTCTATACTCCCCTATTTATTTTTTTATCTTATTTCAAGATTGTATAATTGTTTCTTTTGCAATTAGTACCAGTTTTATTATTAATTTAGTATGAAAAGTTCTACTGCGTGTTAACCAAAACAGAATTTATTATTATCCAACTTGAACGTGATGACAACCAAGAAGACAGTGAAAGTATTTATACCCATGAACGTAACGAAGAACATTTTACGCAATGGTTTTCTATTTTAATTGGACCTCATATACTTATTTTAAAAAAAAGAAAACTTGCTCTTGCTATCTTTGTGAATATTAGTATATAAATATTTTATGAAAGTTAGCTTTACAACTGCAAGTTATACCTTTTATCGACAAGTTTAAACAAAATTCTTATTTTTTGCCTTTACTAACACTAATGAATATATAGTTGGTATCATCCCAACGTGGATCGCCAAGAGGCTTCTACTCTTGCAGAGGCAAGAGGTGTGTGTGGTGCCTTCTTGGTAAGACCGCGTGATTGCCAGGGCGAGCCCTATGCACTGACGTATTGGTAAAAATTCCCTATTTTTTTTTGTTCTTTTTCATTTCGACCAGTGGTTATTAGCAGTCTTGGTAAAATTATGAACTTATTGTAAATTAAATTTTTTTTAGGGACCGCTTTACCAAACATTTAAAAATATATTATGATGTTAACAAAAAGGTGTATTTTATAGCCGAAAAAGAAAAATTTAGTTCAGTTATTGAGTTGATAGCAGTAAGTTTATCTATTCTAATAGTTATCTAACAATATTTTTAGTTATTAACTTGATTTTAACTAGTACTATCAGGATAACAACATATTCGCTGAGGATGCTCAAACTTGCAGGCTTTCAATACCAATTGTTTGTGTGAGTAATTACTGTTCCTCTCCATATTTTATTAAAACTATTAATGTATTTTTTTCCCGAAAAGAACCCTTTTAAAAATGTAATATTTGAAGAAAATTCACCATCTGGTTGGTTTTTAGAATCATCTGAACTTGGAAAAGTAATAATACTTATTATAAAATTTTATTATTTTAATGTTATCATTTTATAAAGATCCTCAATCAGAGCCGGTTGGATGGAAGTTTTTTAGTCAGCTATGATCAACTAACGGAACATTTTACATTATCTTTTAGGTCCTCATATTATTCCTTTTTTCATAGAAATAGCGAGAAATTAAGAGATGAGGGTTGAACATTCATTAAGTTAAGTGAGTAGGTAACACGAGAGTGAGGTTCGGTAGTTTGAGGTTTAAAGGTAACACAAGAAGGCACTTGCCTTCGTTAGTTTTTATTAAAAATTTTTTGTAATCTACTCTTTTAAAAACAGAAAATTTCTAGACTCTATCGAACAAATAAAAAATTTTTAATTACTACTTAAGACATGTTTTTTATAAGTGGGTGCACGAAATAAAATGGTTAATTTACGGGATACTGATGTAATTTTGCATTTAAAAGTATTTAACTGCTTCTATAATATTAAAAATATAATTGCACTAATTAAGCTGTAATAATTGTTTCATAAGGAAATACTAATGCTGTAATTGTTTTACATTAAGCGTTATCGTTTTCTTAATGAAACTAATTATTATGAAACTCTTTTTTTACTATTTTATAAAAACGAAAATAACTAATTTGCCATAACATACCAAATATATATAGAAAGACCCTATATTTTAAAGTGTAGAAGCAATTGCTGTACATTTATTTACTTCTCAAATAAAGAACTGAATTAAATGGTAATTAAAATAAATAAGCACGTATTATGTATGTAAAATATGGAATTTAGAGTAAAATTACTAGAGAAACAATAATTAATATACTGATGGTTGCGGACAATAAACACTGTTTAAGTAAATATTTGATGCGTAAATAAGTCTCCTTTTTTCAAAGAAAAGCCTTGTATATTAGTATAATAAGGAAAACTTGAAAAAGAAGTGTCACTAATTATTTTAAAAAGACCTTAGAGCTTTTATTTTTTGTAATATTATTATCAATCAAAAGAAGCGGAAAGGAAATTAAACGCTGTCGACTAGCTATTGAAGGCCGGATGGTCCACGTGGAAAAAAGTTTTCAAAAGTTTGAAACTCTGGAAGCCCTTTTGTGCTTCTATAAAGAGCATTCCATATATAACCGTACCAAGTTATGTCACCTTCTTACAGAAGAGGTCCTTTCATTGTTGTGTATATTCGCCATATCATTAAATGGTATAAGAGTTATTATGTAACCTGAAAATTCTATTTTTTATATTTAAAATTATTACTTTACTATACTATAACCAAAGGAGATCGCTCGACAACAACTACCTAACAGCAATCTTTACTTATCTGTTTACCCCCAATTGCAAAATGAAACAAATGAAACTCAAGTTAGTACCTTTATAAAACACTAGTAGTTATAAAAATGTATTGGCCTCAACCATCAAAAGAACTTTAATAATCACGTGGCCATCTTTCATTATGAACCGCAAGGACCAGACGAATTACGGCTTATTAAGGTATCCTTTTGTACCCATTTTGAAAGTGTAGAGATTACGTACGCATAAAGGATGTCCCCGTCGCTGTGGTGAAAAAGAATACCAATGGCATGTGGGAAGGGCGCCAGTTGGGACAAACAGGGCTCTTCCCAAGTTACTGCGTCGACCTTCTCGTGTGTTATTATCATTAAAAATGCTCCAAAGTATTTAATGCAATCCTTGGCTTATGTAGGATACTGAAGCTTTGCAGATCCCGGAACTGTCCAGAGAGCGACGGTTTGTCTTTTCCTTAGAAAGTTTGAAATCTGTTGGTACTTATTATAACTCTTAATCAATATTATTATTTCTGTTTACATTTAATTACCCTCTTGTAGAAAAAATTAGCGCCTATGAACTTCAGCTCTCTTTTTCTAATCCGAAATTAGAGGTTTTTCTTTCTACTCGGTTTGTTCTAGCAAGCACCCGTAACAGAAAATTGGTATAGCTTTATACATATACATAATTTTAACTTTAAAATGTATTATAAAAATATATTCAAGGAATTTAATTTTAGGTCTATTAGGGATGAAAGCCATTTTATACTTAGTTAACTTTAAAGTTGCTTATTTGAAAAATTATAATATCATAGGATTTTAAATAAAATCAATTGTATATTATAACTAATTGATATATAATTGATATATACTTTTAATGTAAACTATATAGAGTAATAATTATGAAAAGTATATTTGAAATTTTATATCAAAAAATAGCTGGCAAACGATTGGTTGGAAGCATTTTCGACCATTCATGCTCGGAAACCTTCAGAACTGGTTCCAAGGGAAGAGCACAACGCGTTATCCTCGTCGCTGGAAAAACTTATGGGCTCCTCAAGGCTACTCTCCACCGACAAAATTTTGGGTTCGCCACGTGGAGATCACCTATTTTCTCTTTTAGTATAATATGAGAGAAGATCTACGCTTAATGTACCATAATAATATTAGACGTTCAGCATTTTGACACTATTCTGCTTCCCGAACACAAGGCTGTTAGAAGCATCCACTTGGACCCCGAAGAACTTGTCTCTTATAATATAGATCGCACGGTGTACGTTTATCCTTCAGGTGGGATATATAATGTTAAAACTTGTTTATAAGTTTATAAAGTATTATAAGTAAGGCTTCATTATATTTTGTGTTATAATCATATATATTTTATTAGCGTTGCGTATCAACTATTCAAACTTTAATCCCGTTCCGTTTTGGAATTGTGGGATTCAGTATGTTGCTATGAATTATCATCTTTCCGGTACATGTCTTTTCTTGGTTAGTTATTTCATTGTTGATTGTATCTCTAAAGATACTTTTATGCAACTCTACAGAGGAAAGTTTCGCGATAATGGGAATTGCGGGTATATTGAGGTTAACAAAATAATAATGATATAATTATAAATAAATAAGTTACGTGCTGAAACCGCATTTCATGCGAAACCGCTGCCCTCCGAAACTGCTACGATCCAATAAACTTGGCGAACCCTCGCAGCTTCCCCAACCTTTTATCTTAGAAATTGAGGTAAACGACCAACCACTAGAGTTTAAAGAGTGATACTGGATTTATACAATTGCATCAAGTTTTTGTATGAAAACCACGTGGTGAACGAGCGATTTGATTGTCTCAAAAAGTTTATTCAAGTGGAAGTTTTTGGGCCCGCCGGAATAAATCATAAGAAAACTATTGATATCTACAGGGATGTACTACACCATAGCCCTCTATTTGCCCCCTGCAAAATATCTTTTAAGGCAATTTCCTGTTCTTCTTATTCTATTATTCTTGCCTAATATTTATTTGTACTTTCATATATTAATAATTTTTTTATAAATAATACACTAATAAAATAAGTATTTATATGTATCAAGTTACTTATTTTGCAGTATATATTATTATTAAAAAGGTAATTGCTCCCGAATCCACAATATTAAGACTCTCTGTTTATTCGATTAATTCCTTTGGCGGGGCCACATTTATAGGCCAGTCGTCCTTGCCGCTAACCTGCATTAGTAAAGGTCTTTTATTATTATTATTATTATTATTATTATTATTATTATTATTATTATTATTATTATTATTATTATTATTAATGCTGTGCTTATATTATTAAGGATACAGGTCTGTTCGATTGGCGGACGCCTATGGACGCATGCTTCTAGTTTCGTGCTTACTGGTGAAAATAGTCATTAAAATGTTGCCTCACTCTCACCGGAGCGCTAATATCAGCGCAGATAAAGACTTTCTAGTAAACGCACTTTCAATATTTTTTTTGTTGATGTTAATGAAATTAGTTGTAGCAATAATTTTAAAATTATTAAATAATTATATTTTTAGGTTCCTGACGAATTCGATCCGGAAAAAAGGTACCTTCTCTAAATTCTGGATTTTTTGTATATTACTTCTAACCACTTGTTAAACTTTTATTACTAAAACAGAATAATAATACAAGTTTTATTATATTAATATATACAATTAAAAAAAAATATTAAAAAGTAACAAATAATAACAGTTAACAAACTTTCAAAACAAAATTAATATTATACATTATGTTAACTGGCTGTTTTATAATACACATTTGCACTAGTATTTCAAACCCGCCAACAAAGTAAAGTTGTTACTTTAAAAATAATTTAGTAAATCTTCAACGCCTTCAATTTTTTTATACACTTTGTGGGCCACTAAAACTTTTTAAACAAAAAATATTTTCTCTGTAAATATTACTATTTAGTATCCACATGTTTATGTTATTATTGGTTTTTATTAATAAAAATATACATATATTATTAAATTAGTTATTACACGGTATAATTGTCCAAAATTTTGTTACTATAATAGTTAACTATCTATTTTATTAAATCTATAAGCTTATATTTAATATTTATTTGTGTTTATAAAACTGTAGCTTGATGATATTGCTGATTACATAAATTTATATCATTTTCCATCTGATTTAATTTCTAACTTCTAGATACGTAGTACCGTATAGCTTTATCAATTTTAACGTTATAATAAAAATATAGCTTCATAATATTAGTTCTAAGTACATGTCAATTAATAAAGAAAACAATTTTTAATTATTAAAAAGAGTTGAACTAAATTAAATATTTAAGACTTCTACGGAATTTATAAAATAAATATTATTTTTATACAACGACTGTTAAAACTTTTTAATAAAACTCCATCGCGTGCGAAAGACAGACAGCTCTTAAGAAAAGCGAAGGAAGTCAAGAAGAAGTGCAACACCAGCCTGCCCTCGCGCCCTTCACTGGTCATCTCTTCGAACTGAAGACCACATTTACCCCGCAGAACTGTGACCACTGCAAAAAAATAATCTGGACAAAGTCTAAGCATCTCAGTTGTTACAAGTGTAAAGCAATTCTCCATGAAAAGTGCTCAAACTTATATTATTATACTTGCATGCTTACTCAATCGCTTGATTAAACTAATAGTAATATTCTTAAACTTTATTGTGTCCTTCTGAAATTTTCTGCTTTCATTATTATTATTTTAAACCTGCTTACCAGGCACCATTCATTATAGAAAAAGTAATACAAATTATTTGTATAAATACCGGGTAATAAATATTATTTTTTTAAACCTGCTTATCAGGCACCATTCATTTAAAGAAAAAGTAATACATAAATTAATTGTATAAATACCGGGTAATACATATATCCTATTAGGTGTTAATGTATCATTACTATCCTTTTAATTTCGTGTAATAAACTTGTTAGTTTTAGGAGCTTCCTTGCCACTTTTTGAACTCACTAATATTCGAAATTTGTATTTCTTATAGTGTTCATTTTCAGTGCCTTAATGCGAAATTTTCGATTATCTGAAGCGCTTTTGCTTAAAAAGTAGATACATGGTTTTAGTAGAACTTTTTTATGGAGTGCCAGGTGTAGCTGGGATCCAAAATATTTAAATAAATACGCGGTTTACATACTTGTATCTTTGACTTTTTCATTTTGCCTTATTTTCATTGGTGATAATAATCTTGTAAGATTATTACCATGTACAGGTGTGTAACCCTAATTTTTTAACGTAGTTGTAAGTTTCACTTTCAATTGCTGGCTTCTTCTCTTTTCTTCTTAGTAAGCACCATTAGTGAGTTTATAGAGTCTGCATACCGTCTTTCGGTAAGGTCAAACTATTATATACTTAACACGAAAGAAGGTGTGGTGAAAAAATTATGTTACGCTGTAATACCGCTCTACCAGCAAATCGAAGCTAATCTTTTCTTAATATAAACTTGTTCTAGTCCTGTTACTACTTTAAATCATAATGGCTTTAATTTAATTTTTTTTCTTGATAGATATTAGGCCTCCACCTCGTCCATAGGCTAGCAATAGTAAAAAGTTATTTTAGAAATACAGATATTTTTTGTTTTTAATACAGGCTTTTAACAGTTGAAGAGCAAATATTAGCTTGTCTATTAACAATAGTAGGTATAGAGGAAGTAGGCCTATAATTTGCGTTAATACGTAATTAGTGTCAGTGGAGATATTACTGAGCCTATCTAGTTCACCATATACTTTTGTATATCAAGTGTGCCTTAAAATTGTGTAAATTACCTAAATCACGGAAGCTTTTTATAAAGTTAAAATTTAGTACCATTCTGCACAAGTGAAATATGCATCTTACATTTACATTGTACATATATCACTGGGCTTAGCTGGAAGGAACTTACTATAACTATTTTCTTGTTTTGCGCAACTTACTATTCATACTTAGAGCGTTCTTACTAAATATTTTGTTTGTTTATTTACCTACCTAACATATAAATAATAAACTTTTTTAATCTATATTATTTTTTTTGCGTAAACCTTTTTATTGTATATATATTTTATAAGGTTGTTATGGGTATTTTTTCCTCTAATACAGAATAACAGGAACTTTTCGCTAGTCTATTGGCTGCGAACGCCCTTTTAAATAGGAGTTGGAGATGCCGACAGTAAATGTTATTCGCTTGGAAAGAAAAAATAATTCTGAAAATATTTTATATAAAGACGAAAAGATCCACCAGAACAAATGACTAATCGGGGGCGCAACAAACCGCTAATCCTTCTTCCGCGTTACAAATTTTAGGCAAGGCTTAGAGACTATTAAAGATTACACATTGAAAGATATTGAAATGAGGGAGGCCCCCTTCAGTAGTAATAATAATTTATGTAATAGTAATAAAATTATATATAGTAATAAAAATAATTATAACAGTAAATTTTTTAAAGATTATAATGGAAAAAGAAATAATATTAGTATCGGTGATAAAACTAATAATTATAGTAATACTAAAACTAGTAACAATATTAGTTATGGTAATAGTGTAGTGATAACAAGCTAACCAGGTGAACAACAGTATTAAAGACGATAAAGTTACTAATAATTATTATGACCATTTTATAATACCCATTGAAAATGCTAAGTCCCTCCTATAACAATACGCAACTAAGAAATTTTTTTTTTAAGTAGGATGTCTCAGTTAATAAGAACTAGTAATATTAAGATTTTAAATGCGAAGAACTGAAGACATGACAGAGATCTTTACTGATTATACATATCCCCTCCCTTCTGTAGAAGTGTTTAAGGTAGTTTTTCGTGGTGTCGTTAAGGAAATGGACGTAAAAGACTTTTAATAACTTTTAGAAAACTTGGATATTTTATTTTACAAATTTTTGATACGTTGTAATCACGCTAAGCAAGATGTATTCAACTTTTTACACTGAAAAAAATAACTAAGAATCTCCGAGAATGGTGATAACAGCAGTTTTCATAACAGTGTACGTACAGATAATTAATTCGTCAAGTATTTTTATTACAAGGTAAAAGCAAAATACGCGACAATCTAATGTTAATAACTTCATTTAGAAAATTAAGTATATGCCCTTTAATGAAAAACTAAGGACCCAATAACCTGGGAGAAGAGTTTTAATTCTGCGTTATCGTTGTAAATCATTTACATTATAGTTCAAGTATGCATTGGATGAGTATTTATAATTTTGTTAGAGGGCAACGGAAAATTTTGTATCGGATTATACTCATTGCATTATTTTTATAGGCTTCCTATCTTGGTCATTAAGGACTAAAGATGGTATTTCCTTTGCAGTTAAACATAAAGGTTCTTAACTAAGCATGGTCAAGTAATAACATTTGCAAAACCCTCTCAAAATATTTTAAGTCATCACAACTTTTGCAACTGGTTATTAGCTTAAGTTCTTAATGCTTTTTGGTGACAAATCTTAAATAAAAAGTAGAACACATATAACTAAAATAAAAAATATAGAAAGATTAGATCTTGTTTTTGTGCTTCTAAATTGTACTAAACCAACATGTGCCATTGTAATTTATGTTTTCATTTTTATATAATTAATATTGTAGTTGAAGCTATAAAATTATATAATATTTTGAATTTAAATTTATAAACAATAAAATAAAATCAAATTTTAAACATATATGACTAGTTAAGTTCTTGTGCGCTTTTTTAATGATAGTTACTTTAAACACTTCTTTATAAATAATTCACAGCAGAAAAAGTAGATATATATTTGAAAGAAACAATTTTTTTCTTATAAGTTTAAAGAGCAGTAAAGTACTTATAATTATGATAACTTTATTAAATATCGTATTTAATAAAACATTTAACTTGGCTAACTTCTGTGTGCAATTAATAACTTTTATTAGATTTTACATCTAGGAAGTATATCTCTACCTTACTTAACCTGTTTTTTAAAAACTTCGAAGAAGATAAAAATACTAGCAAGGATATCCACTTCTCGATAATACACAATCGAGCTCTTCTAATTTTTTCTCAATAAACCTTAAGTTACACAGCTACACCAAATATCGTTCAAAACAAAATGTACACTTAGCTATTGTGACTTTTATATATAATGGCGCAGTCATTAAATCTTTTCAAAGGTGTTTTTAATAAAAAAGTCTAGTGCTTAAAAGTTATTAGCATTTTTATAGAGGCGCGGCAATAAAATAGGTTAGAGTTACAAGGAACTTCGGTATACCGGATACTTTTAATTACTAGAAGATTATAAGGCATTTAATACAGCTTTTTTTTCAACAGTATAATTTAAATCAAATAGTTTGAAGTATGCTAAAATAGGTCCATTTACCATCTCTCTAAATCTTATTATAAAAGGTAGTGAAAACAGAGAAACCTTTCTTGGAGTATACTTTTACAATATTTAAAGAATGTAAGAATTAGATATCTTTTAGTAAAATTTAATACTTCTAACAATGGTTTATAAGATAATATTTACTTTCTTTATATTCTAAATAGGTACTATGAACAAGCGAAATATAAACTATAAATTGTACTACAACAAGAAAAGAAAACCGAAAATAAGTTTAACCACCCAGATTTATAATTTTTTTAAAGTTATTACATAATGTTATCCAACGAAATTGCTCCGCAATGTAAAGAAGACGAGAAAGCTTTGAGCACGACTTAAAACGCAGAAAAGCATATATTATAAAAATCTTTGTAAAAATAATAACGGTAACCTTTCTTCTCCTTAAAATTAATGTTACATTTAATTTGTTATAATAATTTATAATTTTTAAGATGGCTTTTTTAAATCCGGCAAATTCTGTGAACTTATTATTAATGACTTGTCATTATTTTTTCTAAAACAAAGTAGTAAATTAAGTGGGTTTTTTTAAATGAATTATCTGTTTTACTTTAAAATTACTTTTAATTGAAAATAAAATTAGGCTATGATATTTAATAAGGCGACTTGTATTTTATACTAATTCATCTGTTTAAGAATAAACTTGGCAAATAGTTGTTTAGTAAAAAAAATTAATATTGGGAGCGAAAGCGTGTAAAAAATTAAATCTTCGTAGTATAATACGTGGTTTATAAAGAGACCTAAAAAGCCGTGTAAGCAACGAAGTAAAAACCTGTTACAAGTTATTTTTTAATTATTAATATGGAGCTCTACTGATATCTATATGATTTCTTTGTTCTTTATATTCTCTAAAAAGTTAAATAACAATCATTTAGAGAAATTAGGAAATACAGTTTGAAGACAGGCTAAATGGCAATAAACCTCAGTTATAAAATTTTTTTATAAATTACACGTACATAGTTTCTGCCATATAAGCATTAGAAACCCGCGAGAAGAAACGAGGTTAGGTATTAAAAACAAAAATAACTTAATATATAACATGAAAACATAAACACCAACTTAAATGTAAAAAAAAATTTTATGCATGAATGTAAAACATTGAAATAGGGTAGAGAAGACATAATGAAATAAAACACGATACTAATAAGTCGAATATATATAAATTTATAAATTAATAACAAAATATGGTATCAAAAAATTTTAAATAAAGGAAAATTAGAAGATTA